CAATACTATATATGTATAATGACCAATATTGCCCAAGCAGTTGCTACAGGAAGACAGTGAAGTAGAGATGACTCCAATAATGCCCTTGTATGTAATATAGAGCGCTGTGAAACTCTATCCATCTATTGTGTAACAGTTGGTAAAGTGGCATGTTCATTAGATGGCAGTAGATCATTATTAGCCTGCGTCTGGTCACATTGGACATTACTAGCCTCGACTAAGGCAGGATTCAATTTTGGCTGTCATTCCTGGCAAATATCTGACATCTTACAGAGGATTAGAAGGTAAACATTGCTACAAGCAGGTTGAACTTTTTCTGTGTGTCTTCTGCCATGCTTAAATGTCAAGGGTAGATACCCTAAGGATACCTTGAAGTCAACATTTTGGACTTGTATTTAACACGTTTTGTGGGTAAAACTACTATTCCTGAAATGAATTAATTACAGTCAGAGTAGCAGACTATCTTAGTGGTTGTATGTGACCTTAATTGTGGTATCTTGTTATTTGGTGTAACAGAGTTGTATGACTGATGACTATGCTGGTATTACACTCTATATCATTTAGTGTTCTGTAAAATTATACACAATATATATATAATGTTTCATTCTGTTTAATCATATTTTGATGCATGGTATATATGCATGGTATATATACCATTATTACAAATAATAGGTCTCCCCTGTTCAATTACGGGCTATACTTCCCTAGATGAGTCCCAAAATAAGGCATGCAAGGTAGTGTGTGGAAAGGTGATTGCCTGAAAAGAAATGCAATACCTGGCTGTATTAGTGTGTGACCTATTGGATAGAGTATGACACAAGGTGCATGCATGATCACATCCACTGTATTGGCCCTCTTCTGCCTACTCCAGACACAAGGACACACTGTAAGCAGCCATGACCTAATGGATAGAGTATGACACAAGGTGCATGCATGATCACATGCACTGTATTGACCCTCGTCTGCCTACTCCAGACACAAGGACACACTGTAAGCAGCCATGACCTTATGGATAGAGTATGACACAAGGTGCATGCATGATCAATGCACTGTATTGACCCTCGTCTGCCTACTCCAGACACAAGGACACACTGTAAGCAGCCATGACCTAATGGATAGAGTATGACACTAGGTGCATGCATGGATCACGCCAACCATGTTGGCCAACGTCTGCCAACCCCAGGCACACTGTTAGCAGCCATGACCTAATGGATAGAGAGATGCTGAACACAAGACACTCATTGATCTTCTATTATGAGTCACATTTTCATACAGTACATAACCCAAACAGCATTCCCTTTATCTGATGCTCCTGACAAATCATGCTTGGAATAGGTCCTAAGTATCCCATGCTTGTCATCGGGTGAACGCAATGGCTTTAGGTATGAATAATATTTCATTTGGTGACCACTGAAAAATGAGGGCTGTGATCTGGCTAATTGTGTGATCATACCCTAATAGCATGGATCAGTCTGTCTCCCAGACCCTAGAGAATAAATTAAAAGTGAATCTAATTCAAGTCAAGAAATATTAGGCAAGTCGAGATTACGTCGGCTCGTAGGCATTGTTCTGGGAAGCATCTGGTTTTCAGTTTTTATTTTGTAGATATATATATTTTGAATAGGACAACTTTATTATATGGACTTAATGTTAGACTATGCCTATAATTTAACATGCACTTAGGACAGTTGTAGAGTGAGGAACAATTTGTGAAAACGGGCCCAATAAAATTGATGGAAGGGTTTTCTATCACTCACTCACTCACTCACTCACTCACTCACTCACTCCAAGTGGAGCTTTGGCATCAGTGTTGCATGTTATTGCCATGATATCTTCTCGATGTATGTGTTTGTTTTCTTGGCCATGCTTCATATCAGACAAACATCATTGGCACCACCAGGTAGCAGTACATCATGATCTTGCATTCTTATCTGCTACATGTCACACTTGGCTGATTTATGCTATTTACATTGTCACATTTACAATATAGGGGCTATTTGTTTTATTTATATGTGTTTGCAGTTAAGATGTGTACATGCATGTATGCTTGACAGTTTATATTATAACCATATTTCCTCTATTAGACACCCGGGTGTCTATCAGTTTTAGCAAGACCTGGCGTCTTCAGAGGCCTGATGTCTATGTAGTTTTATGAAGGCACACTGGCAACTAACTACCTTACCCAAACCCAAGTTCTACAGCCATATAAAGGATACATTTGCAGGAAACGGTCTTGCAGAGGCCCCGTCTTCTATATTTTGGACAGTGTATGGCCTGGTGCCAATAAGAGGCCGGTGTGTATTGGAGGTCTGGCGGCCATTAGGGGAAATATGTTAATCTCTCTAGATAATTTTGTGATCCATGGAGGCAAGTTTGAGTGATCAGCTCCTGTATCTGTTTCTGTGTTTATGGTTCTGGTATCATGGATTTGTGTTGTTTATGTGTATTGGGTATCAAGCTTAATCAGCCAAATCTCTGTGGAAGATGAAGAAGGCTCTATGGTGGTATACAGGTCAGGTTCAATATACAAACAAAACTCTTATAGGGATTCTGAGGCAGAATTGGTCCCCAGTACTCCACGCTTGTTGTAAGAGTCATGTAATGAGAAGCAGTTGTTATGACATGTCAACTGGCCAATTTGTGTCACTATTCACTCACTCACACACACTTGTGGCTATGATACCCAGAATTAGTAGTTGAATAATAGCTCGACATATTACACAGTAATTAAATCAATACCTTTTGCAAGATGGATGTTCAGAATTTAAAGACTTCATTGTGAAACTGCTTCTGGAACTGATCCTTAGGTTTTAGACTTTTCTAACTGACAGTCATATCTGTGGTTGAAGCTTCCATGGGAGTAGTCCTATACCATTTAATACAGAACACAATCGTAGCACTATGGCTGTCCTTAATCCAATGGACAGCCTCCATGGTCTAGTCGTAGAGCATCCGCCCAAAGAGCGGAAGGTCCAGGGTTCGATCCCTGGATGCATCATACCAAAAGACGTTCAAAGATGGTACTTGTTGTTACCCTGTCTGATGCTCGGCATTAAGGGGCTAAAACAAGGACTGATCAGCTTGGAGTCAGTATACTGTGTCTGAGTGGGGTATTCATGTTAAACTGCAGCATGGTATCTGTGTGGGCTAGCACTATAAAATTGGCACACACGCACGTACACACGCACACATGCATGTCGCTATGTAAGTGCAATAATCTTGGACATGACGTTAAACCCAATTTCACCTCACCTTAATCCAATGTTAAGGATATAAGTGTTCAGAACATTTCGTAGTGTTTTGATGTGAATCCAGGCTACATAATTTTAACCATGACTAACCGTGCAGGTAAAAAACAACAGGAAAAGATAATATTATCTTAAAGTGCTGGAATTTATGTATTGATATCCAAAGAATGCCTTTAAGAACAAGTCGGTTTATGTGCAACATATACTACAAACATATCCTATGATACATAAGACATTGGTCGACAAAGAGTGCCTTTGAGAACTGGCGGTGATGTACAAGACACTTCCTATCATACCTACTACACTGGTATGTGCCTTTAAGAACAGGTGGTGATATACCAGACATTTCCTATCGACATAGTACACTGGTATGTGCCTTTAAGAACTGATGGTGATATACAAGACATTTCATATATATTTATATTTTCCACACCTATATGTACCCTTAAGAACTGGTGGTATATTTATGATATACAAACCACAAATATATCCTGTGTACCACATATTCCACACCATATGGGCGATAAGGCAACAGTTGCTGTTCCCAGGGTCGATACAGCTCATCCTGGAATTGATTTGCCTCTGCATGATGTAATGGGAACAATTTACGATTTTGGCGCTGACATTTCCCTAATCTCCTGGAGGGGCACATGGTTGTTTATATCAAATATGTTGTGCATGAAGTGATGGATCTGGTTTGGCATCAAAGGTTGGATGTGCACAGGTAAAATGCAGAGCGATTCATGACATGCAAGTGTCCAGTTTTGGAGGTTGGGATTTTATTGTACCCAGAAACATAGTGGAGGACATAGTTATGATAGAGATGTGTGGTGTGTTTCACAGCTGGGGACTGGCTTTATCATTATTCTGTCATCAGGGATAGAAGCCATTTTGTCAGTGTAAACAGTAAACAACATTAGTGAGTCCCATTTGTTGGACAGTAGGACATTTTGTACAAGTTTTTGTACTGGATGAGACAGAAGGGTTCTCTGACCTTCTGATTGTGCCTTAACGGTTGTGCCAGTGTCTATAGTACCAACAGAGTTGCATCCCTTGGACACACAAGGAACCTATGATCATGGGTTTGAATCCCGGTTCACGCAGATTCTAGGTTTGTCAGCACCACACCCGTGCTTGTGGGTTTCACCGAAGTGGTAATATCTGAGACTTGCATCACTTTGGGCTTTCTTCCCACATTAAGCCGACATGCTCTGAATTACTGGACTACTGTTTATAGTGGCATTAGACCCAACTCACTCACTTGCTCTAGAGCATCAAGCAGTAGTGTCACTTGCACTGACTCACATGTCTGGAAGGAAGAAGTTAACAAATGTGTTCTCTTTGCTACCATGACAACACATGCAGCCAAGAAAAGCTTCAATTACAAATGTATTGGTGATAATGTTAGAAAGAGGGACTTGTGCAATATGGTGTCAGTGCTTTGCAATTGAAGACCACTGGATTGAAATAGATTTCAGAACTGCCTGATAGCTTAAGATATCATTAGAGAAATAATGTAACATCACCATGCCATTGGTGTAGGGAGAAAGTGGATGGGAAGAAGCATTTGGACTGTAGCAACCCGAATTATTGTCATCTTTGTTGTATGAGTGACAAGATGTATATTTTGAAAACTATGGCTGTTTTGAAAGGTTTAGCAACATAATTTGTTTTAAAGAAAATGTGGACCACCATGGCAATTTTTATGAAGTGATTGCTATTAAATTATAACGGAACGTTCCTATTTTTCAGTTGATATTTTCTGGCGAGTACACCAAGGCCATGGATCAGAACTACCACACTGACCACCTGGCCTGCTGGAACTGTGACAAGCAGCTGGTGGCCTGCCGCTACATTCTGAAGGAGGAGCACCCCTACTGCATCCCCTGCTACCAGCAGCTCTTCGCACACAACTGTGTGGAGTGCAGCAAGCCCATCGGACCCGACTACAAGGTAGGCGCCATGGCACAGGCAGTGGGATGGTGTATTTGTTGGATGAAGTAGTTCTTGAACATGGATCAGATGGTATCTGTATCATATGGAAACTTACTGTACAACAGCACAGGACATGGATTGAGAGAATGCATTTGTAGAAGCTCCCTATTCAACAACATAGGCTGTGACTTGGGCGTAGATTGAGATAATGCATATAGAAGCTTCCTACTCAACAACATAGGCTGTGACTAGGGTGTAGATTGACACATTGCATATAGAAGCTTCCTATTCATCAACATAGGCTGTGACGAGGGCGTAGATTGACACATTGCATATAGAAGCTTCCTATTCAACAGGCATTGAAGCATTACTTTAAATCATCATAAGTCAGTCATTTTTATTGCCAATAAACAAAATATTTTTCACGTCATAGATATGAGGCAATACCAACAAATTCTGTTGTGGAAGAGTTTATAAACAATTGCCCAACATTGAGTACATCAACTTTGAAGTTACATCACGTTTTCACCTGCATGTGCTAAACCTGGGCCTTCTCACACCTGTCTTCCTGTCTGCCTGTAAGTAAACTGCCAGCAGACTTCACAACTTGGTGTCACCTTGAAGCACCTACATGTGACCCTCAGACTCTCTGATGTCGGAAATAACAACGGGGATCTGGATAGGCTTGTAGGTCGAAAGGTAAACATCTCATCGCAGGTGAACAGATCGTCTTTCAAACTGGGCCTTAGTTCTTTTGAGAGGGCTTGATCACAATTTTGAATGTCAAAGGTTTACCTGTTATACAGGGTATGGCATTTTGTATATTGACAAGTAGTGTTTACTTTTTTTGTAAGTACACTTACAAAATGACTCTAATCTACCTGAAATCATAATCATTTGAACATCAGAAAATGAAGAATAATTTCAATCTGCACTTGGATTATAGCGTCCAATAAAGTAATTAGATGAGAAACTAAGACAGGCTTTATCATTGCTGTAGGGTCAGGAAGTTCAGTGCGTTTGGCATAGGAATATATTTCCACATGGTGGGAAAAAAGCCATGCTTCCAAGGTAAGCAGGGGCAGTCGGGTAGCCTAGTGGTTAAAGCATTCGTTAGTCACGCCAAAGACCTGGGTTCGATTCCAAACATGGGTACAATGTGTGAAGCCCCGCTGTGATATTGCTGGAATATTGCCAAAAGCGGCGTAAAACCATACTCACTCACTCACTCACTCACTCCAAGGTAAGCAAGTCAACTCCTATATCTTTACATAAGAGCAAGAGTTTATCTGAAGATTTTGGTGCTGAAAAATATTTATGCCCCTTTGTCAATATCTGTTTTGAGACACAGAACAAACAACACTATTGAGTTCCCAGTTGAAAACATTATATTGGTAGATACCATTTGAAGGCAAGCCTTATTTTGGTGCTAATGAAGTGACACATTCACATCATATTGACACATTCTTGTGGAAGAAGCCTTGTGTTTATGTTTTGAACCGCTTACGATTCCAAGATGAAACACAGCTTGGACATATAACAGAACTGGTGGTTGTATATAATTTATATATAGTTGTTGGATTGAGACCAAAGGGGAGGTAACTCAGCAAGGGGTTGTCTTTTAATATTGTAATACTGGACCCTGGCAAAATAAAGTGGAGATTTTCTTGCTTTAAGCTCAGGTTCGTCTTCTAGGTGAATCCAGGTCTTTGTGACAAAGGTGAAAGATTTGGAATACAACAATTCATGGAATTCAAAACCATATCAGTCTGACAGTCTTGTTTTTGTTATAATCTTTACTTATTTTGTTTTGTTTCTTTCCTGTTTGTTTTCAGGCAGCACTTCTGTTCAAACTATTTCAAACTCATTTCATTTCGGTTTTGTTGCATTTGCACTTTTCAGTCTATCCGGATCGCAAAACCAGTGAGTAAACTTTCCAGACCCAAACAGTCCCTTCTCTTAACCAGAGATAATTGCTGCCCTGTGTGGAGAATACAATAGCATTATGTGCTGCACTGGAGTGTACAGATAACGGAATACCATAGAACATGTAGTGTGCAGAGCTGTCAGAACAAGCACCTGCTGTCACACTGCTTCCAAATGTAAAGCTCCCTTGTTTCTCCCAATGTAAAATGACAGTCCAGTAATAGAAGTTACATAGCAATTATTAATTTTTTGAAGATGTCTCACCAAATTTAATAGATTTTTTAATTATTTCAAAATGTCATTATTTTTTATGTTGGTTGTGAGTATAAGTAATGCTTTTATAAATAATAAGTGTAAGGTGTCTGTACGATGTCATAACTATAATAAGTTAAGCATGTGGTTTACAAAATTATCTCCTTCCCCAAATAAACAAGCCATGGATGACATATGTTGCCTTCTCCATGTCTCCAGTGTGTTAGATAGTTCTGGGTTTGATTTGGGGAGGAAAGAAATGTAAACAATTCACAGTCAGAACGTGGCAGTTTGTCAGAGGAATTTATTTTCCCTCTTCAAAATCATGGAACATTAGGAAACATCTATTTGGCCTATAGTGCCGACTAGGCAGTTCCCAAACCTTCATTGGTAACCATTTATGAATTACAGGGTCACATTATGACTAAGGTTTTCTGATATTGCCATGTAATCAGTTGTTGAGATGACACCATCTGGGCAGGAACTAAGCAACAAGTAGACCAGAACACAACCACTAGAGAGGTAGGAAGACAGTATATGTACAACAATGGAAAATCGGAAACAATTAGCTTTTGTATTAGATTCCTATTCTGTAACATGAGGAAATATTTGTTCTTAAGACACGGAAGTATAACACTGACTTTTGTCATTTTCTGTTGGGAGAAACACTTAGACAGGGTTTACAGTCCCCAGTGTCCATTAGTAGAACTTAGAGGGTACCACATGTCTACATCCTTTCATCTCCAACAACCTTGTATACCCCTGTACTAGTGTCAATGGAAGTTTGTACTGAAGTGTGACACCGTTTGGTGTTTACTGTGTGTCATGGGCCGTACCGCATCCATCTCCACATCATCAACTCAGCCAAAATGTCCCCATGTTATAGCTAGGTATAGTGTAATCTTTAGTGTGACACTTTGTCTGGTACCTTGGTGTTTACTGTGTGTCATGGGCCGTACCACATCCATCTCCACATCATCAACTCAGCCAAAATGTCCCCATGTTATAGCTAGGTTTACTGTAATCTTTAATGTTACACTTTGTCTGGTACCTTGGTGTTTACTGTGTGTCTTGGACCGTACCGCATCCATCTCGTCTTAATCAACTCAGCCTTAATGTCCTCATGTTATAGCTACCGGTAGGTATGGTTTATGTGAAGAGTGACATCCTTTGGTGCTTACTGGTATGATGAGCCTTACCACATCTTCCATACATCTCATCTCCTTCAACCTGGCCTAAGTGCCTGTGTTATAGCTAGGTATGGTTTATACCTATGTGTGACACCCTCTCCAGTGCCTTCCTGGTGCTTATTGTGTGTGATAGTCCTTACCTCTTACATCTCCATCAACTTGGTCTAAATACCCGTGTAAAGCTATAGGAATGTTTTAGACTGATGTGTAACACCCTGTCCAGTACCTTGGTGCTCCCTTCCCATCAACTCAGCGATATATTCCCTGTGTCATAGAGTCCTTCCTGAGCGCCGCATTTCTTGTGTTCCAATACAAATAGTAATACTGGTTGGCTAGGTCTACAGTGACTGATGCGTTTTGTTCCTTGTGAAAGTAGTTATGAATAGTAGACATATCATGCATTTTGATCTGTATATAACTTTGTTGAGTTTTCAGAGTTTTAAATTGATGTCAATACTGAATGGTAAAAGGACCCATTGCCTTAGAAATTGATGGGTGAAGGTATCATAAATATAAGGAGACCCATATTGCTCAGAAAAGAGTTACTGTTTTTTTCATCAGGGTTCAGTGACCTCGGCCCCCTGGAAATCTGTAAGCACTGCAGCTTGATACACAAGTTTTGATTTCAGTCAGAAATACATTATGATGATGACGAAACATTCCACATAACTGTCAAAGGATTCATACGGAAGAATGTCATGTAACCAGAATATTATCCCAGGTCGGTCTGATCTCTGAATTGAGCGACAGTGTTTAACTGATAGTTTATGGTAGCCCCTGTTGTGATGTTAACACACATGTAGTCGGGAGATATAAACTGTTATCACACGGTACACCTAATCCAGCAGCTCTGTCTACAGTAACAGAATACCTGCCTGCTTACTCAGCTCGTGTTGTCTGCTGAACGGATCAGCCATAAATGGTAGCACCAAGGTGTACTGAGGAGCGAGCATCGGGACATCTAACCTGGCTATCTCCACGCCCATATATATATATATATATATATATATATATATATATATATATATATATATATATATACCTCTGGCTATTGGAGGATATTAAGCATGATGGAGCCTTTTCTATGAAGATATTCTTTCATCACATTGTCCATCTAGGTTTGATTACATTAGTTTGATCCTTGTTTCATTTGTGTATAAGGAGAATGGAATCATTGTTACTATAAGAATAAACACATTGGATTACGGTGTGTTATAAACTGTTATAATACTTTTGGTTCACACAAAGAATTGTTCTAATATTTTTGTTTCAGTTCTTGGTCATACTATCTTATCACATTACCAGGTTGGGTAGTATGAAATATTACTCATATCTCAAATATACGGATAAGGATCCAGCAACTTGTTACAGATATTAGCTTTTGTTTATGGAATCAAAAATATTGAATTTAGGTTTTACTTGAATTTTCTTTTCAGGCGCTTTTATACACAGAGAAACCAACATGTTATGTTGGAACGGTATGGCATTAAGAGATTCTGATAATAGAATTCTATTGAATTTATTTTTGCCATTATATCATCTCAACACAGACAGATACAATCAATTATTAATATTAATACTTAGATTAATAAAACAGTATTCAGGAATCCTGAAGTCATAGAAAATGTCCCAGTAATGACATTTCTGTCTCGATGTGAGATGACTGTGTTTACCCTGCAAACTGAAGCCAAATGCTGGTGCATGGAACACAGCGTCTACCACAACAAAAGATGGAGAACTAACAGATCGTTCAGCATTTCTTGCTCTCACTACTCCGACAAGGTTATAGGCTTTGGTAATGATGCAGAACTACAGCACATAACAGATTGCACCTCTCTCTATCTGTCGATTATGCAATTGCACCCCTGGTATTTGACAGTTTGATTCACATCCAGATTGTGCTAACTATGGAGGTTGCCGCATATTCTGTGTATTGCATGAAGAGCATGGTTGGCGCCATTGGTCCACTTTATTAAGGGAGTCCAAACTTCCCAGGAACCTGATCGAGTTAAATATTAAGTGTTCTCTTCTTTTGTGTTCATTCCAACAGGGGAATTCAAATAGGTACATAATTATATGTAATCTCAATCTTTTGGTCTCCCAGCCTTATCAGGTATGTCGTGACGTAATTCACTGACAGCAATGTATGGAAAGTGTCTGTAGTAATGTAGTGCTTGACCAAAAGAGAGTACCTGTGAAGGCTGGGAGGTCAAAGATTGAAATTACATATCTTATTGTGTATTCTGTTCAAGCGAGCATACATGGACAATATATACACAGATTTTTGCCAACATTTTTTAGAATTGTTTAGCTTCGACAAAAACTTTCATTGCAGCCAGTTGGACCTCATCACATGAAATGGCATACACTGTTCAGTCAGTTATAGTCATAGTTGTTGCTCTTAGAACTGCTTGTTAGTATTATATCAATCATTGTATATGGAAAAGTATACCTCGTTCCAGTACCAAGGACAACTTGCTAGTATACACACATACATCTTCCGATGGGTCATAGTACCATCTGATACATCAGAAGTTTGGGTTGCAACCATTCTGATGCATATCTTGGTAGCATCACTACCCATGCCTCTACATAAGTAAGTTAGAGCTAATTATGCATTGTTTTAATATTTTTCATAATCTGTGTTTTCATATTTTAGGGGGACACTCATGTAAGTAAAGTTTGTATCTACACTGACAATTTTAGTTTAGACAGGTAGGCATGATACAGGGAAATGTTCTACATGTACATGTCAAATACTTGCATCTTGAATACATCATGGACTTAAATGTTATTAAAGACTAAATGAAGACTAATATGCATCGGTATTTAACACCTATATCCATATATTTAAATTTTGAATGTGTGTAAACTCATAACGTATGTATCTCAATATATATATCGGAAATATGGATTTTTGCTCTTTAAAAGTAAAAATTCACTTTATCTGTCAAAATATTTTGAAATGTAACTGCCAGTTATAGACATTTGAGTGTAAGCAAAAAGGTTTCATGATCGACAGACAGTTTGTTTAGAAACGGCGAGGGAGTTTTTGAAGTCATCAACATGCTTAATTATCAGCTTACACCAGTTAGTGTCCTGTGCAGACGTGTGATATATCTCCATAACATATGGCAAACTGACAGTGATTCATTAACCTCCAGCATGCTGCAGGCAGTTTACCATGCCCTTGTATGGTAGCTAGCTGCTTACAGGGTCCGATCATTATGTAGATAATCTATTGACAGTCATGTAAACATGAATATAACCATATGGCTTATGAGATCATTATTTTGTGGTTGCAAGTTACCCATGTCATTAATACTTACACAATAATTATATTGACAAGGTTGAGTGTTGGTTTAAACACTAATGTGATTAACTGTTGAATGAAGTGTTTTTCTGAATTAAAATATCTTTTGTGTAGCTTTGTGTCGATCATTAAGAGTTCATTATTGTATGAGTCATTGGACATGTGGGATTATCTGGTAAGACGTTTTATTATACATTTTCAGGTGACAGTGTTCCACATACAAATCTTACTATTTTTACTAC